TTAGTTTTTGTAAAATTACCGATATAACTATCAAAGAAATTGCTGGTTCGTGTCTTAATTTAAAGTATCTCGATTTGAAAGGGTATTATAATATTAGCAAAGAAGCCATAGATCAGCTAAATCCAAATACCCATGTTGAAAATTTCCTCTGAGATCCGATTCGAGCTGAGATAGAGCGAGTGGTAGATCTAATATCAAGACAGCTTAGAGTTGTTAATACTAGAAGTCAGCTTCACTAGGGATTCTGACAACCTAATTCCAACATATCTATAACAGTTGACTCTGGTGCTGATCATCCCATTATAGCTATAAATAGACAAACACCGACTCAAGGTATCATTTTCACCTTAATATCGAGATCTGTTGATAGATTACTCAACGATCAAGCAGAATGGTGGAACTTTACCGATCTAACTAATCAGGAGCGGTGATCTGACTTCTTCAGCTCAAAAGATTTACTGCTAAGCCATGTACAACGCCTTCAGCCAGATTGTGCAACAAAAAAAATAAGTGGATCACCAGATAGGTTGTGTGACATATTAATTTTCACATATCAAAAAGAAGTTATATGCTAACCAATACTTCTATTTTTTATTAATCTACAATATTAGCAAAATGTTTGATGAGGATATAAATGCTGAGAAGAAAAAAGCTTTTGATGAATTTACCAAAGAATATGGAGAGAGAGAAGAGGATTGGACTATTTATGATAATGATTGGCACGACTGGAATGACTTTTTTTGTGAAATTAAAACCCATTGGAACACAAAGGTGGTCAAGTATTGGAGAGAGAAAATACTTAAGCGATTTGTATATAGTCTACCCAATGTAAGTAATCCAACGTCATTATTCTACGTACTCTTACAATCCAATATTATTTATCTCCCATAAATAATAAGTCTAATAGAATTGCCATATTATCCACTTGAACTTCGATCAGAAATATGGGATCCTGGAGGGACCTGACCAGATGGTATTTACTATACAAATGGCAGTGGAATATCAGATTAATCTCACGAAGTCAGCCGTCAAAAAAAATCCTGAGTTACTTCGAAATAACGTGAAAAGGGTAATAGGTATAATTGTTAGGCTGTTAAAGGATAGGGTTAGTGTAGATAGTTTCCCAACTAGTAAGAGGGTTAAAATCAAAAAAAATATCAAAAATTAATGTGTATCGCGGGCTACGTCCCGAACTATATATTTATTTTTTATCTTGTATTAATAAAACGTTTTTACATTTGTAATATAATATTGAATATTTTCTATCGTATAAAAAAAATTATTGATCATGTCAGACACTCAATCCAATGATTCATTAAGGGAATTAAATGCCAAACTCTTAGCTGAGATTGCGGAGCTTAGGAAAGAGAATGCTAAAATCCCTGATCTTAGAAGAAAGATCTCAGGGTTTGATGCTGAGAGATCTGAATTCAAGGCCAGAATTGCCGAATTTCAAAGACAGTCTACGGAAGAGAATAAGAGGCGTGATGCTGAAAGCGCCAAACTCAAGGCCAGAATCGAGGAGTTGGAGAAGAACAAGACAGATTCTTCAGCAGAGAACGTTAGGCGTGATGTTGAGATCGCTGAGATTAAGACTAAAATAGTGAAACTAGCCGAAGGCGCTCAGGCAAAGGACAATAACGAAGAGAACAAAGAGCTACCCCAAATTATTTCTCTCAAGGAGGTTGTCGATGTACCTAGTTCTGTTATAGATCATTCCATTAATGTCAACCCTCTTAACACACAGTTAAAGGAAGATAGAAAGACCGATGAATTCTTAGATTCGGCGCATAAGAAGAGGATTGGCGATGAGATCAGGCAACACAATAAGGAAAAGAAACTCCAGCGTGAATCAGCTAACCAGGACGTCACTCCCGAGCCTATGTACATAGCAGAAACAGATAATGACGATAACAACTCAGATGAGCCAAGTGATCAGAGCATTTCAGAAAAATCGGAACTTTCTGAAAATTTTGTGAATAAAATTCACAATTTTCATGATCAAAATATTGACAAATCTATAGAGGATAACCAGTTGGACCGTAACTTATCCTCCAGAAAGGATTCATCTGGAGATGATGATTTTACTGTTCCTTCCGAGCAGGAAGTGGAACGTGATTTAATGCAAGAATTGTCTGTTCCATCCACTAGTATAATAGACACAGAAATTTCGCTCAACCCACCAGTAATCGATAAAAAACAGCAATTTTCTATTACGCCAGAGTGTATAGTCTATAAGTTTCGAAAAGCTATTCGTTCTGGACATGAGGAGATTTTACACTGGTATGGCTTTGCAGAAAGTTTTGATAAAAGAATCAATGAAATTCATACTATCAACAAAGTTAAAATCAATACTGCGAAACAACAAGTATACCAAGAAGTTAAAAAACTACTTCCAGATATTAGTAATGTTAATCTACGTCAGCAACTATCTAGGGCAAGAAAATTATATAAATTATTTAATGCAGTAGGCATAGAAAAGATAAAGCAAGTTACCTATAGTGCAAATGCAATTTCGAGTCTTAAGAATACACAAATCCAAAATATTATAGACTATGTGTTTTCTAAAATGATCACTGGGCTGAAGACGCTAAAGCATGATCATCAGACTCCAAAAAACAATCAGATTAATGCATCAGAGGTGCAAGAGCAAAGCTTAGATTCAGCTGAGGGATCCCTTAAGGACCAGGTAAGCATATCAACCGCACCTATTCCTTCAACTCATGTCTATAATTCTTCAAATGATTCTGAAGAAGAGGTGCCAGACGAATCAGATGGTGATGAATATAATGAATATAGTGGATACAGTGGATGTGGTGGAGGTTATTATTATCGTGATGGAAGATATGAAAGGAAAGTCTCACCAATGACGAGTCCTATTATATCTCCGGTATCCGCCTGCTGAAAGCGCTAAAGGCAGGAGAATTATCACATACTTTAGTACTGGATTATCATAAGTTTATTTTTTTCACTGAAATTATATATGCTACTTTTTGATCGCCAAGCTAATACATTCTAATACAGGGTAATTTGCAGGTCAGGATCGGCTAAATAATGGACTGTAAGATCACCAGGGGCTGTTATGTTTTTCGATGATCATGTCTATCAACTGCGGAGTAATCTTAAATATAAAAGTACTGGGAAGTATCGGAGTTGCTCTAACAAGAAAACAAACCAAAAAAAAAATAGCTGTTAGCCATTAAGGTGCTTCGTAGGCACTTCGCAAAGTTTTGTGCATAAACTATCTAAAACAAATTTAATAATAAAATGCTTTCATTCAGTGATATCTCTCTGCTTGTGCTCTTTTGCGCCGTAGTATTAATTTATGAGATGATATCCCAGGGAGTTATAAACATTGAGAATCTCCAAGCTATTTTTTCGGGAAATTTATTCCTATATTTAATTTTTGCTGGAGTAATCATCTATTTTCGCAAACAGCAGACTGGAAGAAATAATGATCTTGAAAGATCAATCCTGGCGCTAAATAATGAGCTCCATAGGATGCGTACTGAAAATGATTGGAGAAATGATGCTGTTTCGCAAGGTATGATTGAATTAGTATTTGGCGGTGACTTCTCGAGACTAATATGCAAATTGTACCTTTATAGCCGGTTCAAACAGGTTTTCTTCCACAAGCCGTGTATCGCAATATTCCGAATATACAGATGAAATACAAATGTACTGGGTCGAATTCACGGCCATATTTGATCAAAGAAGGAGGAGAGATGGGCGTTCTCCTACACAGATGTACAATATATTATCCCAAGAAATTCGCCTTAGCCCTGCCACACTAGCCAGCTTCTATCGACACCAAAAGACCCCAAGGGTCACATCAATGGATAAAATTATTACATGGGTAGGAAGGGAGGGAGAAAGGGAAGGGAGAAGGAGAGTTAATTTTACGAATAATAATGATAGTAGTAGCAATAGTGGGGGTAGTGATGCGAATTAAAATGATGCTGGGACTCTCATTTATGGCTTAGGATCCGAGAACTCCCTCCCTCTTTGATAGCATCATTTATTCCAATCATTACATTCCTCCGGTTTTTCGATCTATTATCTTTTTATTTATTTTTTACTTAACGAATCGGTCATATTACATAATGATAAATAAATAAATAATATAATAAAGAATTCGTTTGATTTTTAAAAAAATATGTGTGCTTTTCAAGCTATGAAAATATAAAATTTACTAAACTATTTGCTATTCTATACTAACGAAAAAATCGAGTGATATTTGAGATGATTAATCAAATAATAATGGTGGCTTAGGTGCCTATACAGAATCCGATTAGCTGATCATCTTATGATTTGAGAAACATCTCAGCGCCATGATAGTTCCTGGAGAGTGCTGTAGAACTGACAGGGAGCCAGAGTGATTCTTGTGATACGATATACATCATGGATCTGAGAATAATTTAGCCGTTATATTATCCCAAATCTAATTTAACCGAATTATGACATTGGGAAAATCCCGTGAATATGAGAAAAAAGGAATTAGCATAGCTGAGATATATGACCCTATATAAACCTCCCGATATGTTTGTAATCGAATAAAAATGAATCCGATATTTTATTATCATATACTTGTTACAAACTGCTATAAATCACTGAAATTGCTATAAAT